TTTTTGTACAAATAAAAAAAATATATAAGAAAAAAAATTTTTATAGTCATCACGATCTTGCCTGTTTACGACTTTATTTACACTTCTAATCGCGGTAACACCTCAAGCTCATTCAATGGAAAAACACAATATATTCCTTCTGTTTAAAGTGACAATATTTTAGCATGAAAAAAGTATTGTCCTTACATTAGTATGATTATAAAAAAAAATTTATCTTTATTTTTGCTCTTAAAAATTGTAAACGTGATAAATTTTCTCCGTTTTTTTCTATAAATTGTTATTGCATAAGATGCTCATTAGTTGTCAGTTGCCTTGACGTACAATATACGTATAAATCCATTGGTAACAATTAAATGTTACGATAAACATGGGTAAGTTTTCGCCCTCGCAAGAAAAACTACCCTTTTCTAACCTATCCGTTTATTCGTTTCTCGAAATTAGGCAGCCGCTTCCTCGATCACAGCACTTTCCTTAATATTACAGTCAACGTCATTTTTTTCGCTCACTAATTCTGTAGCACTCACCGACATTTCACACAACTTGTCCTCGATAACCGCGATGCTACCCTCAACGATGCACTTTGACACCGAGATCTCAGTTTTAGCCTCGATATTCGATTCGATTACCGGTGCCGTAATTTTTTCCTCGATGCTTGGAGCGATTTCGGGAACAACGACCTCAGCCTTCGCGGACATTTCTTTCATCTCCACATCCGTTTCTACTAGCGCGGGTGTAACTGTTTTTTCTTCAACGTTCGCAATCGATTCTCTTTCCACGCTGAGGCTCTCCAGCTTCTGTTCTACCTCGGGCTTCGTGCATGAGTCATTGCTGATCACTGTTTCTATTTTGCTGACAGTTTCAACAATCGTTACCTCTTTGATTGGCTGAGGCATCACTTCATTACCTTCAGGAACTTGTTGTTCTTCTTGCCGTGGCTGTCCCTCTTGCTGCACTTCGAGTTTCTGTTCCTTTGACGTTTGATCCTGTTTTTGTTGTTCATTGAGTTCCTGCTCATTTTGTTGTTGTTTTTCTGACTCTTGTTCTCTTCGCCGTTGTTCTATTAATTGCTGTTCCTCCAACTGTTGTTCTTTCAACTCTTGCTCCTTTTGCTGTTGTTCTATGAGCTGCTGTTCCTTTAATTTCTGCTCTTTCAGTTCTTGTTCCTGTAGTTCTATGAGCTGTTGTTCCTTTAATTTTTGCTCTTTCAGTTCTTGTTCCTGTTGTTCTATGAGCTGCTGTTCCTTTAATTTTTGCTCTTTCAGTTCTTGTTCCTGTTGTTCTATGAGCTGCTGTTCCTTTAATTTCTGCTCTTTTAATTCTTGCTCCTTTCGCTGCTCTTCAATCAGTTGCTGTTCCTTTAATTTCTGCTCTTTTAATTCTTGCTCCTTTCGCTGCTCTTCAATCAGTTGCTGTTCCTTTAATTTCTGCTCTTTTAATTCTTGCTCCTTTCGCTGCTCTTCAATCAGTTGCTGTTCCTTTAATTTCTGCTCTTTTAATTCTTGCTCCTTTCGCTGCTCTTCAATCAGTTGCTGTTCCTTTAATTTCTGCTCTTTTAATTCTTGCTCCTTTCGCTGCTCTTCAATCAGTTGCTGTTCCTTTAATTTCTGCTCTTTTAATTCTTGCTCCTTTCGCTGCTCTTCAATCAGTTGCTGTTCCTTTAATTTCTGCTCTTTTAATTCTTGCTCCTTTCGCTGCTCTTCAATCAGTTGCTGTTCCTTTAATTTCTGCTCTTTTAATTCTTGCTCCTTTCGCTGCTCTTCAATCAGTTGCTGTTCCTTTAATTTCTGCTCTTTTAATTCTTGCTCCTTTCGCTGCTCTTCAATCAGTTGCTGTTCCTTTAATTTCTGCTCTTTTAATTCTTGCTCCTTTCGCTGCTCTTCAATCAGTTGCTGTTCCTTTAATTTCTGCTCTTTTAATTCTTGCTCCTTTCGCTGCTCTTCAATCAGTTGCTGTTCCTTTAATTTCTGCTCTTTTAATTCTTGCTCCTTTCGCTGCTCTTCAATCAGTTGCTGTTCCTTTAATTTCTGCTCTTTTAATTCTTGCTCCTTTCGCTGCTCTTCAATCAGTTGCTGTTCCTTTAATTTCTGCTCTTTTAATTCTTGCTCCTTTCGCTGCTCTTCAATCAGTTGCTGTTCCTTTAATTTCTGCTCTTTTAATTCTTGCTCCTTTCGCTGCTCTTCAATCAGTTGCTGTTCCTTTAATTTCTGCTCTTTTAATTCTTGCTCCTTTCGCTGCTCTTCAATCAGTTGCTGTTCCTTTAATTTCTGCTCTTTTAATTCTTGCTCCTTTCGCTGCTCTTCAATCAGTTGCTGTTCCTTTAATTTCTGCTCTTTTAATTCTTGCTCCTTTCGCTGCTCTTCAATCAGTTGCTGTTCCTTTAATTTCTGCTCTTTTAATTCTTGCTCCTTTCGCTGCTCTTCAATCAGTTGCTGTTCCTTTAATTTCTGCTCTTTTAATTCTTGCTCCTTTCGCTGCTCTTCAATCAGTTGCTGTTCCTTTAATTTCTGCTCTTTTAATTCTTGCTCCTTTCGCTGCTCTTCAATCAGTTGCTGTTCCTTTAATTTCTGCTCTTTTAATTCTTGCTCCTTTCGCTGCTCTTCAATCAGTTGCTGTTCCTTTAATTTCTGCTCTTTTAATTCTTGCTCCTTTCGCTGCTCTTCAATCAGTTGCTGTTCCTTTAATTTCTGCTCTTTTAATTCTTGCTCCTTTCGCTGCTCTTCAATCAGTTGCTGTTCCTTTAATTTCTGCTCTTTTAATTCTTGCTCCTTTCGCTGCTCTTCAATCAGTTGCTGTTCCTTTAATTTCTGCTCTTTTAATTCTTGCTCCTTTCGCTGCTCTTCAATCAGTTGCTGTTCCTTTAATTTCTGCTCTTTTAATTCTTGCTCCTTTCGCTGCTCTTCAATCAGTTGCTGTTCCTTTAATTTCTGCTCTTTTAATTCTTGCTCCTTTCGCTGCTCTTCAATCAGTTGCTGTTCCTTTAATTTCTGCTCTTTTAATTCTTGCTCCTTTCGCTGCTCTTCAATCAGTTGCTGTTCCTTTAATTTCTGCTCTTTTAATTCTTGCTCCTTTCGCTGCTCTTCAATCAGTTGCTGTTCCTTTAATTTCTGCTCTTTTAATTCTTGCTCCTTTCGCTGCTCTTCAATCAGTTGCTGTTCCTTTAATTTCTGCTCTTTTAATTCTTGCTCCTTTCGCTGCTCTTCAATCAGTTGCTGTTCCTTTAATTTCTGCTCTTTTAATTCTTGCTCCTTTCGCTGCTCTTCAATCAGTTGCTGTTCCTTTAATTTCTGCTCTTTTAATTCTTGCTCCTTTCGCTGCTCTTCAATCAGTTGCTGTTCCTTTAATTTCTGCTCTTTTAATTCTTGCTCCTTTCGCTGCTCTTCAATCAGTTGCTGTTCCTTTAATTTCTGCTCTTTTAATTCTTGCTCCTTTCGCTGCTCTTCAATCAGTTGCTGTTCCTTTAATTTCTGCTCTTTTAATTCTTGCTCCTTTCGCTGCTCTTCAATCAGTTGCTGTTCCTTTAATTTCTGCTCTTTTAATTCTTGCTCCTTTCGCTGCTCTTCAATCAGTTGCTGTTCCTTTAATTTCTGCTCTTTTAATTCTTGCTCCTTTCGCTGCTCTTCAATCAGTTGCTGTTCCTTTAATTTCTGCTCTTTTAATTCTTGCTCCTTTCGCTGCTCTTCAATCAGTTGCTGTTCCTTTAATTTCTGCTCTTTTAATTCTTGCTCCTTTCGCTGCTCTTCAATCAGTTGCTGTTCCTTTAATTTCTGCTCTTTTAATTCTTGCTCCTTTCGCTGCTCTTCAATCAGTTGCTGTTCCTTTAATTTCTGCTCTTTTAATTCTTGCTCCTTTCGCTGCTCTTCAATCAGTTGCTGTTCCTTTAATTTCTGCTCTTTTAATTCTTGCTCCTTTCGCTGCTCTTCAATCAGTTGCTGTTCCTTTAATTTCTGCTCTTTTAATTCTTGCTCCTTTCGCTGCTCTTCAATCAGTTGCTGTTCCTTTAATTTCTGCTCTTTTAATTCTTGCTCCTTTCGCTGCTCTTCAATCAGTTGCTGTTCCTTTAATTTCTGCTCTTTTAATTCTTGCTCCTTTCGCTGCTCTTCAATCAGTTGCTGTTCCTTTAATTTCTGCTCTTTTAATTCTTGCTCCTTTCGCTGCTCTTCAATCAGTTGCTGTTCCTTTAATTTCTGCTCTTTTAATTCTTGCTCCTTTCGCTGCTCTTCAATCAGTTGCTGTTCCTTTAATTTCTGCTCTTTTAATTCTTGCTCCTTTCGCTGCTCTTCAATCAGTTGCTGTTCCTTTAATTTCTGCTCTTTTAATTCTTGCTCCTTTCGCTGCTCTTCAATCAGTTGCTGTTCCTTTAATTTCTGCTCTTTTAATTCTTGCTCCTTTCGCTGCTCTTCAATCAGTTGCTGTTCCTTTAATTTCTGCTCTTTTAATTCTTGCTCCTTTCGCTGCTCTTCAATCAGTTGCTGTTCCTTTAATTTCTGCTCTTTTAATTCTTGCTCCTTTCGCTGCTCTTCAATCAGTTGCTGTTCCTTTAATTTCTGCTCTTTTAATTCTTGCTCCTTTCGCTGCTCTTCAATCAGTTGCTGTTCCTTTAATTTCTGCTCTTTTAATTCTTGCTCCTTTCGCTGCTCTTCAATCAGTTGCTGTTCCTTTAATTTCTGCTCTTTTAATTCTTGCTCCTTTCGCTGCTCTTCAATCAGTTGCTGTTCCTTTAATTTCTGCTCTTTTAATTCTTGCTCCTTTCGCTGCTCTTCAATCAGTTGCTGTTCCTTTAATTTCTGCTCTTTTAATTCTTGCTCCTTTCGCTGCTCTTCAATCAGTTGCTGTTCCTTTAATTTCTGCTCTTTTAATTCTTGCTCCTTTCGCTGCTCTTCAATCAGTTGCTGTTCCTTTAATTTCTGCTCTTTTAATTCTTGCTCCTTTCGCTGCTCTTCAATCAGTTGCTGTTCCTTTAATTTCTGCTCTTTTAATTCTTGCTCCTTTCGCTGCTCTTCAATCAGTTGCTGTTCCTTTAATTTCTGCTCTTTTAATTCTTGCTCCTTTCGCTGCTCTTCAATCAGTTGCTGTTCCTTTAATTTCTGCTCTTTTAATTCTTGCTCCTTTCGCTGCTCTTCAATCAGTTGCTGTTCCTTTAATTTCTGCTCTTTTAATTCTTGCTCCTTTCGCTGCTCTTCAATCAGTTGCTGTTCCTTTAATTTCTGCTCTTTTAATTCTTGCTCCTTTCGCTGCTCTTCAATCAGTTGCTGTTCCTTTAATTTCTGCTCTTTTAATTCTTGCTCCTTTCGCTGCTCTTCAATCAGTTGCTGTTCCTTTAATTTCTGCTCTTTTAATTCTTGCTCCTTTCGCTGCTCTTCAATCAGTTGCTGTTCCTTTAATTTCTGCTCTTTTAATTCTTGCTCCTTTCGCTGCTCTTCAATCAGTTGCTGTTCCTTTAATTTCTGCTCTTTTAATTCTTGCTCCTTTCGCTGCTCTTCAATCAGTTGCTGTTCCTTTAATTTCTGCTCTTTTAATTCTTGCTCCTTTCGCTGCTCTTCAATCAGTTGCTGTTCCTTTAATTTCTGCTCTTTTAATTCTTGCTCCTTTCGCTGCTCTTCAATCAGTTGCTGTTCCTTTAATTTCTGCTCTTTTAATTCTTGCTCCTTTCGCTGCTCTTCAATCAGTTGCTGTTCCTTTAATTTCTGCTCTTTTAATTCTTGCTCCTTTCGCTGCTCTTCAATCAGTTGCTGTTCCTTTAATTTCTGCTCTTTTAATTCTTGCTCCTTTCGCTGCTCTTCAATCAGTTGCTGTTCCTTTAATTTCTGCTCTTTTAATTCTTGCTCCTTTCGCTGCTCTTCAATCAGTTGCTGTTCCTTTAATTTCTGCTCTTTTAATTCTTGCTCCTTTCGCTGCTCTTCAATCAGTTGCTGTTCCTTTAATTTCTGCTCTTTTAATTCTTGCTCCTTTCGCTGCTCTTCAATCAGTTGCTGTTCCTTTAATTTCTGCTCTTTTAATTCTTGCTCCTTTCGCNCAACGACAAAACTTACAAAAAAAAAAAAAAAAGTGAAACAGAGTGATAAAGTAAGATTTACCTTGAGGAGGCGGATAATAAGTGTGCTGAGGCGGAGGAGCAGTATGCGGTGGCTGATAATTCTGCTGGGGAGGAGGAGGGTTGGGCGGTCCCTCGACGATTGGCGCTCTCTGGCGTAGGCTCGAGTAGCGCTTCGGTCTGTTGGTCGCGTGATCTTGCTGTAGCTGTTGGGGCAGTGGTTGCTGTGGAGGCTGCTGCTGTTGCTGGGGCAGAGGTGCCTGTTGAGGTATCGGTGGAGGCGGATGGCTTGTTTGCATGCGCGATGGAACTGCCGTCGAGTGCTGTTGACCGGATGGCTGTGCATAAAAGTGCTCTGAAAATGAAAAATAATACATGCTTCGTAAAATTTTTTTTTTTTTTTTTTTTTAAAAGTG